AGAACAATTCTCCTCTGCTAAGTTAAAATATTGCATAGGTATCTGATTAATTTTAATTTAGGCTTAACCTCTCAATAAATTTAAGGCTCGAACAGCAATTTTACCACGTAAACGATAATAGTTAACCATAATAGCTAAACCAAAGGCAGATTCTGCAGCTGCAACAGTTAAAATTACTATCGCAAAATTTGACCAAAAGCGCATAGAGCACACGAGATTCAAATGGAAGTAAAATAGTGGAAGCCAGTAAAACTAGCTCTACGCACATTAAACATAATAATTAAATTACTTCTATTAAGAATAATACCTAATATTCCGATTAATAAGATGATAATTGATAACACTAAATAATTCATGCGCCAATACTAATTAGAAGCTAGTTTTCCTACTCTAAGCCTCCTTCTATCCATTCATAAATTAACCCTAAAGTTAAGATAAATAAAAATAACATAAAACCCAATATCCAAATAAAGGTAAGCCCATATATGTAACAGCCCAAGGAAACAAAAAAGATATCTCTAGATCAAATATTAAGAACAAGATACCAATTAAGAAAAATCTAACGGAGAAGGGATTTCCCGGATTATCAAAAGGGTCAAATCCACATTCATAAACTGACACTTTTTCCATGTCGGGTTGTCTATATCCTAATAGATAAGATGCCCCTAAAACTACAATTGATAATGTCCCATTAATGATAAATAGTATTAGTATTCTTTTGAATTGCATGTTCCTCTCCATATTCCTAAGCGGAGACCTGCATTAGCACTAGACCAGACAGCACCTGAAGGTGTATCTGCTGATTTGTAGGAAAAGATCTTGCCTACTACGAGATGATTCCTCTTGGAAATTATATAAAAAGGTGAATTTGGCTGTTTACCTAATAATATAGCCCTATCATAGCGACTAGTAGCACCAAACTAGCAATAATTACTAATTCATAATTAGTAGTATAAAGATGACTTCCAATTGCCCCAATGTTAGTTCTTGATCCTATAACAGGATTGCTGATATATTTAGGGATATTGGTTAATGAACTATAAATTAGGAATATAAAAGATAATCGGGATCCCGTTGAGTCACCTGAATTTTTCAGGTTCATGAGGCAATTGCTTAAATTCTCCAGCAAAGTGCGAAGATCATAGCTTCATTTAATTTCAATTACCGCACTGCATAAAAACATTCATACGACATTCCTTTCACGAGAAAACATGAGCCCAACAATATTGACCTGCTCACCACTGTGTGACTTCATAGCTCAGTTGGTCAGAGCACTGCACCGGCACCGCAGAGGTCATGGGTTCGAATCCCGTTGAGTCACCTGATTTTTTCAGGTCCTGAGACGATTGCTTAAATTGTCCAGCAAAGTGCGAAGATCATATCTTCATTTAATTTCAATTACCGCACTGCATAAAAACATTCATACGACATTGCTTTCACGAGAAAACATGAGCCCAACAATATTGACCTGCTCACCACTGTGTGACTTCATAGTTCAGTTGGTCAGAGCACTGCACCGGCACCGCAGAGGTCATGGGATCGAATCCCGTTGAGTCACCTGATTTTTTCAGGTCCTGAGACGATTGCTTAAATTGTCCAGCAAAGTGCGAAGATCATATCTTCATTAAATTTCAATTACCGCACTGCATAAAAACATTCAGATGAGATCATCTCGAAGTATTTTAAACTTGCATTCTGCATTACGCTCCTTCATACTAAAGTTTGATTTTGACGTAGGCATTTGCTATCTGTTATAAATATGCCTGCGTGAACTATTTAAGGTATAGTAGTAGTATAGGAAATGTTACATACCAACTTTCAGAAATTCCACCAGCTGTCCTACTTAGTTTCGGTTGGGTATAATTAGACAACGTGCTGGAAAACGTAGAGATCAATTGATTTTCCACTTGTAAATGTCCTAAAACTTTTCTATCTTAAAACCGACATGGAATAATTTTGCAAATGTATACGTATTTATGTATATATATGTTAGAGCCCACAGCAAAGTAACAAAAAAAAAGGAAAAAATACAATCAACTTGTTCGACTGTAGTGTAGATGACATAGATGATAAGCAAAAACACAGAAAGAACAATATTGGTTTACTGTGAAGTACCTTAATGATAACCTAGTTGGTTACAACTAATATAACACCCAAGAAAAAAATTAATGCGACAGTTGAAAATTAAATGAGGGGATTAAGACCTGTTGAGTTTTATGGTTTGCCTAAAAAAATTATGAGCAACACTATAAAAAAACATAAGTTATTATACACTCAGACTTTAGAGGAGGCTTTAAAAAACTGCCACAAGCATACTCGAGAAGCTCACCTTCCATAATGCTCCAAAAACACAAGAAAAGCATAGGACATTAAATATAAAAACAAAACTGGGCCACCTCCCACAGAAGGGATTAAAATTGGGATCATCATCATCATCAAAGTTCTGCAACGCGATCCACATCACACCAAAGTTTACAGATTTGAAGAATCACTAGAGGAGCAGAAATGTTTTCACTATTTAACATCAGTTGAAGAACAATAACCCACATGCTTTAATGCTAATGAAGTGTTCATGATAACCAAATATACACCAGATAAAACTATCTCAACCAAATCTCACTAATGAGCAGCAATCCATGGCCCCCAAAATCACTTTCCAGAATTGACAAAAAAACAAGGATGGCAGAGACCTTCACTACTACAGACTGCAAAAACCGTGAAAATATCTTTACCAGCGCAAACCATTACACCAGCAAAACCAAACCTGCTCGAACTAGTAACCACAAGCACAGACTACTTGATTATAAAAAGGACTACAGCAGAAGTTTTACACAATGAACAAACAACACATAGCTACCTATTATCTGCAGCTGTACAATTTTACATCTTTAAAAAAGTTATGGGGGAAGGATTGAGCACATTTATATTGTCCTTAGTTAACAGGAGCGTGCACTCAAATTTTATTGTTTTCTATCTTGTTTATAAAAACAAAATCTTTATACTGTTTTTGTTGGAAACATTTGACAAAGATTTATATTTCGTAAAAAAAGGCTCAGTCCTATCTATAAAAATGCCAAAAATTTGATGTCAATAAAAATAAGATCATTTTCTTCTTTATAGCACGTGTTTTGGTTTAACTGCCGCTAGTGATAAATATGAAATAATTTATAGCAACATTTTAGGTCCGAGATCACTGGAGTCACATAATTCAAACACACACACAACACAACACGCAATAATTTTTCAACAAAACAATTTCTTTACGACTACATTCTATATTACAGTGCAAAATTAATAAAAGTCATGCAAATACTTGTTAATAAAATCAACTAAAATTATTTCATAATATGTTTTTGAAAAATTTTTGACACACATATCAACTGCCTGTTTTTGTCCTACAAAATGAACAATTCATTTCCTTCAAATGGACAGTAATATCACATATACATAGTTCCATACAACAATAAATCATTGACTAATAATGTAACTAGCCCACTCTTGATAGTCCTGCTATGCAAATTTTTGAGCATCATCATCATTCATTTCTTTAGAATACGGTAACATTAATTTTCAATTTTGAAATTTGCACAGTAAAACTTAATGAGTCAACTGGCTACACTACATTTATTGACGACACATATAAAAATCCATAGAAAATATTGAAAAGCCATAAAAACTTAACTTCCTGAGAAAAACGTTCAAAGTATCGTATACTTCTCATCGTTGGAGATTGACGTTATTTCACATATTGATGTTGCTGTAGTCTAGACATATTATTTATATGAAACAAAGTAGACATGAAACTGTCACTCCAGGTTGAGGCATCGAAAAAAATGCTGAACGATAGCCCATTGGCTACAAAACCATTGTAATAATGGACATTCTTCTATTCTCTCTCACAAATGTTCAGTCACTTTAATTGTTTACATTTTCAACAACATTTGAAATTTCCTTGAGAACGTTTGTGTGGATGAGAACAATTCATTTTTTCATTTTCAGGTTTTAAAAGTGTTGTCAACAAAGTCAATAACCAATATCACAGTAAAATCACAGAGCCTTTGTCTTCCAATTCTGCTCGCAGATGAAACTTCGTGGTTTGAGAAAAATAGAAAATTATGCCACCAAGTGCTTTAGTAGATAAATTAGTCATTCCTTTAGTTTGAATTTAGACAGTGAAAATTTTCAATATGCTATAAATTAATACATATCAAATCTCGTTAGACATCCATTTCCAGTATGCTCACTGATCTTTGAGTGAATAATGTTCTTTTAATTGTTTAACTCTTTTTAATACAAATACACTTTAATTAAGTTCATGGGCTTCGCTTGTCCAACAATACTAAGTTTTCTTTTCTCGCAGCCAATAAGTGATACGATTGATTCACAAAGCACAGGTTTAGCGTTATATATAAGTCTTTCGTATGAGCTCTGAACGTGAGTTCAATGTACTAGAACGCTATTAAATTTTGTGATTATTTTATTCACTAGCGAAGAAGTTATTTACAACAGTCGTGAGAGTTCTATATGTTAGAATTTATTTACAGGCTTTTTATACATTTGGTTAAAGAAGGTGCAGTTATTACACAGCGGATAATGTACTTGAAACTTGAGTATTTTTACGTAATTATAAAGTTAAGTGCGTAAGTTTAAGTAGCGCGTTTGAGTAAGTGTAGGATTGGCTATTTCTATTGCTAATACACGAATCTAGATGAGTGATGTACGCACGTTATGTACGTCACTACACAGGTGTTCACAAAGCAAAATTCTTGATTTAAAATTTCTCTGTAAAGTCATATATGTATCCTCGAACATCCTTTCACATGCAGCACTGTAGCGTTTGTTCTTTCTTTATATTTGCAAAACTCTTTATAGCTTTTGTTAACTTTTCTCGTTTGTAAAACAACACATAGTTTGTTGCGTTTAGAATCAATGGGCACTTGTTTATCAAAAAATTGAATGTCCATTATGAAGTCGATTTCTATTGTACAGTTTACTTTTCACATGTTTCTTCACATTTAGTGGTGCAGGTGGTTTGGTTTACTATATAATTGCTTTAATATTTCTCGTTAAAATTTACTTGAGCATTCATACTAGTCAACGTTTTGTAGTAAAAGGCAGTGTAATCTACAGAATGAACAAGAGTGAATTTAAATTTATTTAGACAGTAATGTCATGGATAAGAGCCTCTCTAACTATAATTTTAACAATACAAACTTTCCTAACCGCATATGCATGACCTTGGCTTTCAAAAAATGCTCTACGTTCTTCAAAATAAATCCAGTCAAGATCTTTCCAAGACACAATACACTGCGCTGCCCATGCTTATTGTTAAATTTATATATAATTGACCCTCTCAATTGTGCAAGAATTGAATACGTTCGTGCTGACCTTTGCCAAACTTAGCCCAAAACCTTATAACAGTAATCGAACAAATATCACTATTTTAATCATTTATGCAACATATTCGTCGACATATTCTTGTACAAACATTAAGACCAATTCGGGCTGAGAGTTTGTTGAAGAATATGTCGAAGCTTATTGTTTTGAACCTTATATGGAATAAGTCTTTTTATGGTTTTTTCGTTTGGTAACAATTATTGACTGAGACTAAAGAGAACAGTTATATCACTTAATGATTGAGACAGAATGAAACAAAACACATTGTGTCTCATTATTTGAATCAATTAGTGTTTCGTTGTTTGCCAATTTTCAAACAAAAAAAATGACAACAACGTGAATAAACGTTTCCATTGGCTAACATCTTCATGTCCTCCTCACATTATCTTATAATTTGATCACAGTTATGTAATAAAAATGTGCAACAGTAACAATTGACTGTCATTGTGTTGCTATAGAATAAGAATTCCTTTTACATAATACAGCATATGTTAATTTTAATCAAAAATGAAAACAATCAAAAAAGCATATATAGCTATAAAATTTTGGTTGTGACATGTAGCTAATGAGATGAAATCGCAGTTATTGTAAAAAAATAGCATAAAATCGTTCCTAATGAAAAAAATGGCATGAAATCGTGATCACCAGAAAAAATGAAATGAAATTGCAGTAACTGAAAAAATGATGTTTGAAAAAAATTACATCCATGCATGCATGGGTTTTCTTGGCCATGATAGTTCATGGAATAAGAACAATATTTCATCATCGATGGAATAAACTGAAAAATATTGCGTTGAATGATCCATATTATTTTCGAGGTAAGTTGATTTTTAATCCATCAGCCAAGACTTTATTATCACGAAAGAAGAAATAAACATGTTTGCTTTTGCGGCAGAAATGTGTATACACGCTGACAAATGAAAAATCGTGACGGCAACACTCTCTCTCATTTCTAGTATCAATCAACCATAAGGTATCGGTACCTTCATGTATTATGTATCTACTATCTAGAAACGCAATGTTACCGTCAACTTTATCCCCTGTAACGATATAAATAATTTGTTTGTCTTTGACGTCATATACGTGTAGAAAATGGTAGTACCGTAACACCATCAACTTATCTGCCAATGGGGAAAATTCAGCGTAATCAACACTTCTTATTTGATTCTGAAAAATGTTTTTCCAACCATCTACAAGATTTTCTCCACACCACAAAGAGTAAGTTTTTTTATTCTCAACATAGACATGTGCAAACACGTGAAACTTAACGCTACATGCTAATACCGACACATGAGTTTCAAAATTTAGTGCAAATTCTTCTCGCTTGTTTTCGATATTAAAAAACACAACAGAGTCAGCTGTCTGACAAGCAATTAATACATCACTCACACTCAAAATTTTCATGGTTTTTTTCAGTTCATCAAAACTGTACAGCAAATTTGTCAAGTCATTACTCCAAAGCTCTGGAATATCATATTGTCTATGCAAAATTACTGCATTTTTTACGGCTAACATGTCCTTAAGAAGGCATTTCCTTACAAAAGTGTCACCCGTATTCAGATTTTTAATGATCAAATTTGATTTTCCTTGACTTCTTTCTTCAAAGTCATTAAACTGATATAGAAAATTGCCATTCGTGCAAATTTCACTGCCATATTTAACATCAGTTGTTAAGTGTGCGCGTTACTAAAATACATAACGGTAGAATTTTTGCCAAACACGAGAACATTGTCGTCATTTAACAAACAAAAAATGTTTTCGTATTTGGGGAAAAATAATTTGGAATGATGTTATCAAAAGGATCAAGAGGATACAAATAATCATACACGCTCTTACCAGAAAAATTAGTAAGTTTTTCACCATTGGGATTTACAATGAATAATTTTTTACCAGACTTACAGCACCAAGAGTTATCACCTATACTGGACATAATATAAAGACCAGCAGGCATGTTATGTGAGTTAACAGGAGCGAATGTCTCATAACGAATGTCTCATAACCTTTCGATAAATCGTATATACGAAACACCACCCTCTTCTCTTCCCCTCCTCCTCCTCCTCAGTAAGACCCAGAATACTTTCGGATTTGCTAAAACAGAGCGAAGTTACGTTATTGTGCAATGTGAAAGCTTGCTTCTTCTCACCTTTCTCAACGTCCCATACGGTCAAAATATCTTTGTAACTAGTGACCATTGTGTCCTTATCCTTAGAAAAACATTTGTTGGTAAAGAACTTAGAAGTAGAATCATCACAATGGAACGGACTGGGGCATATTTTCCCTTTAATAATCATTACATTGTCTAGTTGAGAAGCAAAAATTAAATTTTTAAATGGATGAAAGACAACACAACACTTGATGTTTTCTGCTTCCTTTAACTGACTTCTCATGTTTTTTATCCATAAGCACTTGTTTGTCCTCAACGAAAAAAGTTGTACAACGTTTGTGCGATACCCACAAACGACGTAATCATGTTTGCGAGAAACATCGAGCGATTCTAGTTTTTCTAGTCGAAAAGCCGAGCTTTGACAAAACCTGTCTCGAAGTTCTCGATATATGGGAGATCCTTGAAACGTTTTTTAAGCAAATTGGAAGCCTGCGACGCAAGACCATTAACATTATCGAGAACATTTTGTAAAAATTCCTTTTTGTCATCACAACTACACTGCCATGTAAGAACAACGTAAATGTCATTAAATAATGGTCGAGTTTTCTTAGGAAGATGAAAATATATGCTCATTAATTAAGAAAAATTTTCCAAAGTAAGATCTGCATCAATCCAAACAGAGGCAAATAAAATTTTAAGTCTATGAGATACTTACAAACATTTTTAACCAAATCATTGCTATCGGAAATTTTCAGCGCGTGATGCAACCAATACTTGACTGAATACCTCACTGTCACATGCTTAATTACGTCATAGCTTACACCTTCAGCTTTAAGATTATCCAAAGTTTTTAAACAAAATTGTAAAACAAGTCGATGACCACAAAAAGTTTTTACTGAGTAATCATGTTTTCGATCATCCATCAACCAATCTTTTAAGGATTTGTGAAAAAACGAAACACATTCTTCTTCATTGCTAACAAACAGACAAGAGATAATTTTTCTAACCCCAAGTGATTCGCGACTCGAATTGAAACAAAGAACGTCATCGATCATTTCCCAAGGAAGAGGTTCTTTAGCAACAGCCAGAGCATTTAAAATTGACTGAAGCTTTTCGTTACTGACATGAAACGAATCTAATTCCTTACTTAATCTTGATAAGCAAATTTTGTAATATTCATTAAGATCTTTTGGTATGGACGCATTCATATTTTCTCACAGCAAGTGACATCTTTTATTGATATTCTTTTTAATTTGGGGAGTTTTTCATGATTATGGTTCAAATTATAAAAATAGACCATCAGGATCCTTTTTAACGATCTCATGCAGTTACTTATGGAGGTTAGTTTTAACACTTATCTACTCAACTTACAAACCACAAGACATGGATTGTGTGTTTTCCACTCGCTTGTATTCCACCTTCGTAGAATACAGTCGTTTTTAGCCCAATCACTCCAATGTTAATGTTCATACGTACATATGCCGTTATACGATGTCCATTCAAAACGTTTGTACCAATCCATACACGAAGTTACCAGCATCATTAACCAATAAAGTATTTAATGAGATCATGAATCGCTATTTCCATAGATTACAATTGGTAACTTCAAGCAAAGAAAAAGGGATCACTTCAATACCCCAGTTATATCATCACTCAAAGAATGCTTAGTGCAGAGTCGATCTTCTGTGAATATCAGCTGACCACCTTTAGGTGGGCTCATATAACAATGGGGCCCATCATCATTATATGAACAAACAACTGACATCAACAAAGAATCCAAACTACAAATGAACATTCTTGGCCATGAATCACCATGACACATGAGTAATGACAAACTAGTAAGAGTAACTGAAGTGATTGACACAGGTGGTAAAGGGACTTTCACAATTCCATCCATGTGGGATCTACAATATAAGTAAATATGAATCAGATATATAGAAGATGAGCAAGTTACAAAATGTTTTCTGTTTGATTATTCAAATGGTAAAACATTTACCTAAATTGCATCAATATCATTAGTCAGTTTAGTTTGAAAATTGAATAATGCAACAAGAACTTTCAAACGATCAAAGGCTTAACATCGTGGTCGAAGCATTTTACAGTGATAGCTTTCATATTACAAAGCCAACAAATAAGACTAGTTGTTACTCCATGTAACTAATGCTTTACTACTTAGTCAGTAAAAAGGAGAGAATTTATTTTATTTTATAACATTAAGGTGACTAAACCGTTGTTAACATTTCTTAAATTGAAGGCATGACTGAAATTTTTTATTGTGATTGTCTCCTTAGGAGCATGTCCCTCATTCAAAAAGACAATAAGTTATCCTTCAGTGAAGGCTTCGGTGCTTTTAAATAAAAATAATTCGTCAGACTTTTCAGATTTTTTTGCGTTTATATGTCGTTATGCAAAGTAACGGGATATGATGTTTTAGGTTGGGATTCAAGAGACGTTAATTAATGTAGAAAATAGACTTTAATTTTGTCCAAATATTTATTGCATCTTGTGGTCATATCTTGCTAGGTTAAGGTTAGGAGAGGGTTTAAATGCGTTCTGTTTGCCCTGAATTTTCTCGACTACTAAAAATATTGTAAGAAATTCGAACAAAAGACACTTATGGATCTCGTTCATTGCAATTCTTCGCCACAATCTGAAAAAACTGCACCTCTAGCGCTCAACCACATAGCGTATTGGAGACAGACGACAAATTTAGTGTATTTCTCACTGCATCTATTCAATAATGACTAATGTAACATTGAAGAAATCGCCAAAGGTCAATAGCATCAATAAAAAACATTGAGATTTTCAGAAGAACAATATAGAGATAAATCAAGAAGCAAATAATCATTTATCGTCAGCGTAGTCACTTACATTTAGTTTCCAGCCGTGAGATTTATTTTTATACATGATACCGAAGCAAGTACGTGGGTGAAACATTTCAAAAGGGTTTGAAGGCAACACTTTGATTTTGCTTTGCACAATCACAAATCTTTATACTTGTCATCTATGTGTATAGTCTTGTTCCATCTCATGTAAACAACATCTGCTTTCCACGCCGCCAGGTGATTTACTTGTGGCAACACTTGAAGTGAATAGAACAAATTACCAGATATCTATCAAATCTAATTTTTAAAAACAAAACGTATTGTTGCCAAACAAAAAAATTTCATCTGCCTTCATTAATATACGTAAAATGCAAAAGATAATTGACCATTTTTCTGTGATATTACGCAAATTCTTAATTAATTAAGTTATTCAGCCTATTAAATAACACAAATTTCATCGTTTTTGCATTAAGATGTTGGTGGCATCAACCAAAACACCCTTAAACCCTCTCCTAACCTTAACTTAGCAAGATGTAACTGCAAGATTCAAATCTAAACCTCTTGCATCTAAACCTACAACATCATGCATCGTTACTTTCCATAGCGACATTAAAACGTAAAAAAATCTGAAAATTCTAATGACTTTTTTTTATTTAAACGCATTGAAGTTGATTTGAACGCAAGTCTTTGTGAAAGGTGACATGCTCCTAAGGAGCCAATAACAATAAAAAATTTTTGTCATAACGTCAATTAAAGAAATGTTAACAACGGAAAATTAGTAACTTAAAGGCTGTTTATACTAGCCTGGCTAACCAGGATTCAGTGAGATGTAAAATGATTTCAACGCATTGAAAGGGGGAGGGACATCTCGAGAAGATTTATCTGATGATAAGTATAGAATCGTTTTAGAATTGTATTGAATAGAATTTTTGTCATTACATTGTGTTGATGCTTGGTTTCGTGTAATAGTTGCTTTATATTTGAAAAACGTGTCCCAACAACTGTAGGATCGAGTTGCAAAAAAATTTAATAAGATGATTATGTAAGAAAAAAAACATGACTGAGAACTTGTTTTTGTGGAGGACATTTTGTTGGGTAGTGGTTATTGATTGATGATTGGGGGGTTGGGGGTGACACCCTGTACACTTAACACTTTATACAAAATACACCTTGAGCACAATACACCCTGTACACAATACATCTTGTGCACAATACACCCTGTCCACAATACACCCCATACAATTAACACTTAATACAAAATACACTTTGTACACACCTTGTGCACAATACACCTTGTACACAAGACACCTTGTACACAATACACCTTGCACAATACACATTGTGCACAATACACCTTGTGCACAATACACCTGGAACACAATACACCTTGTACACAATACACCTGGTACAATAATACACCTTGTACACAATACACCTTGTGCACAATACACCTGGTACACAATACACCTTGTACACAATACACCTTGTGCACAATACACCTGGTACACAATACACCTTGTGCACAATACACCTTGTGCACAATACACCTTGTGCACAATACACCTTGTACACAATACACCTTGTGCACAATACACCTGGTACACAATACACCTGGTACACAATACACCTGGTACACAATACACCTTGTACACAATACACCTTGTGCACAATACACCTGGTACACAATACACCTTGTACACAATACACCTTGCAATAATACACCTGGTGCACAATACACCTGTGCAATACACCTGGTACACAATACACCTTGTGCACAATACACATTGTGCACAATACACCTTGTGCACAATACACATGGTACACAATACACCTTGTACCTAATACACCTTGTGCACAATACACCTTGTGCACAATACACCTTGTACACAATACACCTTGTACATCCATTGTGCCCAATACACCTTGTGCACAATACACCCTGTACACAATACAACCTGTACACAATACACTCTGTACACAATACACCATATTCCTGCACACTTGCCACCACGTACACTAAACACTCATGAGGACAATATTCATAAGACATCCTTACAACATAAGACAAGGTATAAACAGATTTTGAAATTTGTGGTTTACCAGAGGGGCGAGGGCATCTTCAAAAGAATGTGGTTATGTTGATGCCAGAGATGATTATATAAACAGGAAAGGCATATATAATCTCAATGTTTAAAGCTGTGTGGAACACAAATATTGAAAATCAAATGGTCTGTCTGTATCTTTAATTTTGGAATGAATTTATCTTTTTAAATTACATTGAATTGCTCATAATTACGTCGTTTGCTGAAGAATAAGCTAGTTAGAGCGGATCAAAATAAAATTTGGAAAGC